CTGCTGATAATTATTTTACATTATTCTGTTACTATAATTTGTATTTTTCCTTCTGTATGATTAAATTTCCTCCACAAATACTGCTGTGTGATATTCACCAGGAAGCAGGGTACTTAAATGCTCACTGTGGATACTAGAACTTTGAAAAACTACTTAAGTTTTTGATGTTTAAAAAACAGACTAAAATTCATATGAATGCCTTTTAATGATATGCAAAAGCAAACAAGACCATCAGAATGTTAATAAATGTTTTTTATGCTATACTTTTTAAAATACCATTTTAATGATAATTTTTATGATAATTTCTATGCTCTAGCCAAGCAGCTAGAATCAGCCCAGATTCACATTTAACATATTAACATTCACAACAAATAAAAAAAAATGACTGTCAGAGGTTGCCAGGATGAAATGCCAGGCAGAAACTCTTCAGTCAGTGAACATATTGATGGTGATTACAGCAATTTAAAAATCCAAGTAACACATAATTTACTTGAGTAATATGGTTTTCTCATATGGTACACAGTATTCAGCCTCAATTCTTGTATTATTTACATTAACATAGCTTGAAACAATATTACAAGAACCATAAATTCATTTTTGTGAATTTAATAGATGTAAAATGTGATAAAAGCTGCCATAATTGATGTTTTTGTACAGTACAATATATTCTTAAAGCCTTGATATACCAAAGTCCTTAATAACACAAGTTTGACACTCACATTTTTGAACTGTGAGCTCAAAACATTTTAAAGATACTTTTTGAAAGATGCCATTATATAACGGCAATGTACAGTCCCTTCAACTAAGCCCAGTCCTTGCTGGGTTTCTTACCAGGGTTCCTGGTTTTTGGCTCTGATTACATCATAAAAGGGATCTCCACATTTTTGTTTTAGGGAAGAGATCAAACTGTTCAATTAACAAAGGATGTTCAGGTTTTTAGAGGTAAACATAGAGGTGTGTTTGTCCGAGTGAACTTGCTTATGTCTAAGGATTATCGGCCTGTGCTATATTTCTGCTGTGCCTTTATGAGAGGTGGATAGGTTTTAGATTTCTCTCTGTGCTGATGATCCTCTTTTAGCTCAGTAACCATGGCACTTTCACTCTCACAGTCTGATATGCAGGTTCAGTAACGTCACTCGAATACAGACTGGAACAGCACATCCATGTTGTTTGTTCTCTGTAATTCTGCCTTTTACGACATTTAGTACCTTTACGCTGAACACTGTGATTATAAACAATCCATAGGAAGTTGGTTGGAAGTGCTATGTTGAAAAATATCCACTCACCAAAACACGTCATGAATACTTAATGCTCTTAGTCTCTAAATTTCAAATCCTTACATTACTAGAGTAAAATAAAAATATGCACAAATCATCTTCAAATGCAAACATTAAGACAGTGGCATTCCCAAGTCACCAGCTCTGTAAAATAGGTCTATATTTTGGTCCTGTCCTTTATGAGTCTCAGAGAAAGAGTAAGGATTATCTGCATGAGCAAAAGGTAGCGACAGGTCTCTGTAAGTGCACCCTGCTGCACTACTAAATGAGCTGAGAGTTTGCTGTGGGAGCTTATGTGGGAGTTTCTGTCAACACAATTTCTAAATTAAACACATTTCAGCATCAGCAAATACTGAAGGGACATATTCATGAGAAATTTCATCATTTTTGATATGAAATGCTTATATTATCCTGCATTTAACCTGCTCTGAATGAGTTTTAAACTCACTGCAATGTGCTCAGCCTGGCGGCTTTTCATACTATTGTCTCTGGAGTTTGAGAAATCGTTCAAGACCAGAGAACCAATAATAAATTGTGTTTTGGAGTTTTGATAAATAAACTTCCAACATCTATCAGTCAGACGCATACAATTTTGCAATGAAAGGGCATGTTTCTAAATAAAAGCAGAGGAAAGACTTTTCTTATGCACACTAAGACTAAAGCTAACCAACCGTGGTTTCCTTATATGTCAGCTATGTTGAATTCAGCTGTAGACCACTTCTATCCTACTACAACCCCTGAAAACCTAAAATATGTATTTAAGTTATTGTTGAACTACATCTTTATATCAAATTAAAGCTACCGTAAGGGGTTTTTGATTGTTATGAAACAGGCTGAGATGAGCAGTGATTCTTTTCTAAGTTGTATAAGATCAAATGTGACCATTTTGAATAAGACTGTTTTCTTTAGCGACATTTTTAATCCCCGAAACTGCCGTGAGGGGGTGGGTACACTGGAAACATAACATTTGTTACCATTTCCTCCGCAAATATTCAAAGAGGTTGATTCCTTTCACTGTAAAAAATACTATGAAAGAATATTTTTACAAGGAGGACATGGTGTTAGAAGCAATAAAAAGGTTGACAGAGAGTTCTTCACAGGAGCTTTAACTTGGCAAACATTGTTTTCATTTTTAAATCCACAACAAAAATTTTCCCACATTGTTGACAGATGTGTCAAAATATAATTTGATTTCTGTGTTAGACACACCAAGCTTGTGCTGATACGTAAAACCATCCGAAGTCCCTACAAGAAACCAAAACATGAGCTTTAGTTAGTATTAATGATAAAATTTGGGAGACTTACTTAAATAAACCACGTAGTTTTGTCCATTAGTGTTTTTCTTGGACAGGCGCTGCACTTCCAATGAGCTCTATCAGCTGCAGTTGTTGGTTATAAAAGCAAATGAATGAAATTTTCTCTGTTTAAGACCATTTTTGCAGGATGTAGAGTGACAAAGTAATGTATTGGCATATGACAATGTGACGTCATGATATGGAAGGTAGAGGAAGGGTTGAGGAAACTTGGCAAACACTAACCTAAGAGCCACTGAATTTTCCATAACCACAGGTGTCTGTTTCAAATCAAGAATCTGCTCTGCTGTAGACTGCACAGACGTGGAGGATCTGTGACGTTTTATCTGTAAGATAAATACCTGCATCGGTAGGTAGTGAAGGGGGGTGTTATATCAGTCTCACAGCACTGACAGCCAATCATTTCTGTGCTTGCCTTTGCTACGAAGCATGTCACCACAGCAATATGTCAGCACCCATTGATGGAATTTTCACTTCTCTTCTCCCAAATGTATGAAATGGAGGTAGGTTGTCCTGATTTCAAACTTGGAGAGAACTCAGAGAAAGAAATATCTATAAAATACTCTGAGTTAAGCCCTGAGAAGCAGTAGCTGTCCATTGGTTGTACTCAAAGACCCTTTATTACAGGTCACTCGAGAATTGCATTTACAGGTTTTCGCCTTTCATCACACAGCTTGTAGGACAGTGCAATTGTGCACTGTATAGCATAATTTATACACTGTTATCTCACAGGTTTCATGTGAAGTTTGAATCTAACTCTAATGAGGTAGGTTCAGGCTATGTGGCATTTCTTCAAAATGAATTCACTCCCCCAAAAATCCCCAAATCTTTTCAAGAACAAGTTCAAAGAATTCCTGATAGCATGGCCACATGAAAATGATACCTGTGGACTTTTTTTAACAGTTTATTTGTCAAGGTTTTTTTTTTTGTCTGCTGGCTTAAACTTGCAACAAATCCCAAAACATTTTCTACCACAGCATCAGTGTTCAAATAGATGCACAGAATATGGAAATAAAAGTGTAAATTCTTCAGAGTAATCAATGCCCTCTTTTCCCCCAAACACCTTTCTCCCCCTCCATCTCTCTGTGCTACACCCACATGAACGCACACTCTTTCTTGTCTTCCAGTGACACTGGCAGTCGTCTGCAGCTCGGTGACAATGATGAATGCAGAACATGAAACACATTAATGCAGCGATTCTGGTCAATGTCAGGCCTTTCTTCACTGTGTCAAGTTAAACAAACAAGATCAAGCAAAAAGGGAACGGTAATTGACCCTCCTGAGATAAGGCCCTTGGTATGAAGGCTGGGGGTCATGGGAATCTCAAGCCATCCTCAAATGCTGGGATGAACACACACTCTAAAATATACTCCACTCACTGTCCAAATGGTCTCACTTTCATCTGCCTCTATAGGTTTCCTGTCTTCTACAGAGAGGAATTATTATAAGAGTCACCTTGTGTTATATACTCGCTGTGCTGTCATTGTAATAAGTAGATTCTACTTGTAAGAGTAGTCTGAAGCCTTAGCAGCATGTGTTTAAAGTGTGGAGGCTGCTGACATTTTGATGACACGTTCTGCTGAAATCCAAGTAATTAGGAGAGTTTTTTTTATTCTGAACTTCTAGTTTTGAATTATAAACCTTGTATACTTTCTGTATGTCCTCCAGTGTGCGGATGCTGTGTAATTGGATCAGCGTGGAGGAGTAAGTAGCTATTGTTAGTGGAAAAATTAACCTTTTATTGTTATATTTAACTGGATGGATAGATAACTAATTTCTTTCAATTTTATACTAAATTCAATTTCATTGTATACTTTTAGAGTTAGCTTTGTAGAACATTCAGGGGAAATGTTTGTGTGTTTTTTTGCTTTAGGGAGGTTTTGAAGGGACTTATGTACTTTTCTGTGTGCACGTGTTAAGATCCGTCATAAAAACCAAAACTGTCAAACAAAGAGTCTTTTAACAATCAGGAATATTCACCAATTTTTCAGCAGTTAATCATGATTAATAGCGATTCTTTTTGCATGTTTTGAATTCATTTACTTTGCCTTTCAAACCTCTATTTCAGTTTATTTTAATGATTAAAACATGGCCACACATGGATGAGGGAACACCTCGCCTAACTAACAGGTCTGCATCTAATTTGAGTATTATTCAAATTTATGATTTATCATCAGCCTTGTGACTAAAACTTTTATGAACATTCCCACATTGTTGATCTATTTTTACTATCTTCTTTCTAGGTCGCTGAAATTCCTGTATACTCAGTTTTTATTTTGAAGTTTGCTAATTCTGGTAAATCATTAATTACAAAACTGAGTTAAAATGATTTAAAAGAAAGTATAACTGTTGAAGTGATCAGTAACATGTAAAGGCATACACTATAACAACAAACATCTAATTAAGAAAGTGCCTGATCGTCTTTCAGAGGGCTGCTTAGCAGGACTTAGCCCAAGAACAAGGGGTCATCTTTATGTCCCAAAAGCATTTACTCTGTGTAAAGAAGCGAACATGAGCATCAAAAGAACTGACCAAAAAGGAGGTAAAAAATGACAAAGCTGTTATATAACCTAAGCATGACATTCTTCGCTTGCATCTTTTAACACAGGTTTCTTTTTCTGCTGTGGAAATTCTCCTGTCATTGGCAAAGCAAAACACATCTGCTCTCCTGGTTAAAATTTGCTTAACCGAAGACCAGCAAGGCTACAACCTCTTCATGTAAAACCAAACTGGTTTGAATGACTACAAATATCAAGAGGTAAACAAGAAAAGTCTTATTTGTGATTTTTCTGTACTAGTCCTTTCATGTAATCAGAGCTCGGGTTTTCAGGCTCCAGATGCTTAATATTTATTATATTAATTCAGCTGCTGCCAAATGAGAAACAAATCAACGTTAAACGTGTTTAAACATCCAGCAGAAGGTGCATGTGATTGGCTCGGAGAAATGTGATTGTCCTGCGTTTTATTAAGCTGAATGGGGTGTTGTATTTGATGCTGGCTTTTAATTTCTGTATCTGTCCCTGCAGTTGGTGTTTTTATTACTATTAATTTATTACTGGGGTTTGGTCTGCTTGGCCACTTGCATTTATAGAGTAATAAGGGAATGTATTTAATACCGCCTGCTTTCAGTTGCTCTGTGAATTGTGAGCATGAATCAAGGGGGTTGATTAAACCATACTGTCCCAGGCTTTTAACTGTGCTTAATTTCACACCATCTATAAATAAAGCAATTATTGTCTTAGGCGCACTGTCAAAGTGGAGGCTTCATGTGTTTGGCTCAGCTCTGACAATTGTGTATGAGGGCTGTTTCAGAGACATATTGTGCATCTCTAGTCTTCTGGTTAATCCACTTCCAGTGTCGACTATGGGTGCTTTCATTAAGAAACGAGTGGCGTTTTTTTTGTTTTTGTTTTTACAAAGCTCAAATTAGGAGGGAATTGTATTTTGAATGCACTGTTCAAAGTGTTTAAGCCAGGGAGCTCTAATGCACACTTTTGTTGGGCTTAATCTACAGATTGTTGTGTCTGGCCTCATGGGTATTATGCAATGCAAACTCCTTCAAAAGAGCACAAACAGAGAAATTCTCAAGACTGAGTGTGTGGGAGGGCTTATCCGAGCGTCTGCTGCCAGTTTTAACACTCGAGGATACTTGATGTTGACTGGATTTATGCTTTTATTTCTAATCTGGGCTCTCTTTCTCTTGCAGTTTGGCCAAAGCTTGTCTTGATCCTGACCGAAGCATCGAGATATTAAGTACGTTGCTGTGATCACATTAGCCTCAAACAAAAGTAGCTGAGCAGTTGTTCATATTCTCATCATATTTCACACTTTCAAACTTTGTCTTAGAAACAAGGTGATTCACAGTACAACTGTTGGCTTCATTATTGCCTCAGAAATGTTTCCATTGTGTACACATTCTGATGGCACAGTGTATAATCATGCATGCCCACTGCAGGACCTAAATGCATTGTAATTAGAAAATAATGGGCTTGTGTTCATGGATGGGGGGTTTCTACTTAACATTTTCCCTCCAAGCAAATGGGCTAAAGTCAGAATCAGCCTGGATAGATTCCCGTCAGACCCCAATATAAAAGTTGATCTCTCCTGTTAAAAGAGAGGGACTGTGCACACAGAGGTGTAATGGCCAGGCTGTCTCTATTAAGGCTAACAGCTCCCGTCTCTTTCAAGGTGGTCATTTAGTAGTGCTGCTCATTCAGCCTAATCAATGGTTGGAGCCGCAGCGAACCATTAAATAAAAAAAGAGGCTAGAGATGAGGTGCCTCTGATTGGGGTTAATTGGATGTAATTGGAATTTATACTGTACAGTGGACGACTCATTAAGAACACATTTAAAAATAATGTCATTTGAGCTCAGGTCATTTAACCATTTTTACATTGAAAAAGTGTGAGGCAGTAGCTGGTGTAGTTCTCTCTCTGTGTAGCCACATACAGGCAGAATGGACATTGTCACGTATTGATTCGTCGATTGGTGCTCCTTGCTTGATTCAATTTAGACTCAAAAACAGAAACAGACTAATCAGAGGAAATTCTCCCATCCAGTTGTCTAATGTAGTATTTGTTGAACGCCTGTTAAAGTTTTTATAAATGGTAAAAATAAAAAATAAATAAATAAAAAAAAACATGTTCTATTGTAAATGTAAGTGGGAACAAGTAGTTATTTATGCCCTCTGTTAATATCTATTTAATGTGGCCTATGATCAGAGAAGCTTGTGTACAGAAATGTTATAAAGAGAGTAGGTAGTGTCCTGCTCACCCTGTCAGAGTTTATATCCCTCCTACTCACTATGAATTATCCCACCTGTGAACTCACTACCAAGCAAAGTGGTAATATCTCTAAAGTGAAAATACCTTTTTGTTAATTTCACACTGAATTGTGCATTCAGACAAAAATTAGAGTCCCTCCTGATCCACAGTTGTAATCGCTGCCGTGGAACAACAGTTTAGTTTCAGTCTCCTTGTGGACCGAATGAACAACAAACTCAAAATCTTAATTCACAGTCAAGTTAATCACTCAGCCTGCTTATCTATTATGAATTTACACTGAACTGAACATTTCCATTGAAGGTATAACATTGGACAAAACTCCAGTAGGAATACAGTGCATTTATGTCAGAGGGGCACAAGCAGTTCATCAAAGATGTTCATCAAAGATGTTCATTTAAGTGACAGTTAATACAGTAATCTTGTTTAAAATAAAAGGAAGTTTACACCTAAGCGAAAGGTAAAACCTGATGAAAATTTAACTGCCCACTCTGACCCACTCCATCGCAATGGAAAGGGTATCAACGATGAAAGTCCAGAAACAGATTCAATTCAAACGCAATGTCCATTAAGGTCCATGTGCGATTTAAAATCCACAAAAGCCTTAAACTCTTGCTCAAGTTGTCTGTGATCCATCTCACCAGAAATGGTAGTATTGGAATCTGCTGGTGGGAATCCTGTCTCTTTCAGTGATCCAGATCATGTGGCTCAGCAAGAATCAGCTACTTTGATTCCTAGTCAGCCTTTCGCAGTATCGTTCATGTACAACAGCTGGCTGACCACTCGGCCCCTGAGCTCAGTGCAAGTCTGCTGCCACAGTGCTGCATTACTGTAGGGAAGTCAGGTAACATTAAAGAGGAGGTATTTAAGAAAGCTGAGATCAAAGAGGTTAAAAGTTTCAAATATTAATTTTTAAAAATAAGTTCATAAACCATAAATTAAAAATCAACACATTAACTTTGCTGCTGACAAACCTTTTAAATCTTTAAGTCGACCAATTAACAAAACTTACATTTTTGCCACAGTGTCAACAGGCGGAGGTGAAATGTGCCAGAGTCCTTCCCGTGTATTGATCTGATTTGACGTGTGGTCAGGATATTCCCAGGCTCATCTATGCTGTTGAAAATTATTAAATATTGATATGAAGTTTTGACCAATAAGAGCCACGTTTTTGACAAAGCTAGGTAATTACAAAGATACAGGATATTGCTGATGTTCAGTTTTAAAATGGAAAAAGAAATATTTTTTATAAATAGGGTGATCCGCTTAGCTACAACTTTCTTTTCAGTCCTTTCCAGTAAGCAGTAAAAAAAAAAAAAACTCTTATGACATTATAATGTGGTTTTTAGCAGATATGGGTGTTTATGAACTGCAGTCACTTCTCATGGATCAAATAGTGGTAGAAGGAGTCTGTTTTTTTGCAGGATTGATAGATACTACTGCCAAACAAGGATGTTTAAAAGTCAAATATGTCATCAGGATAGTTATTCTTGTTAAAGAAATACTGCACCTAAAATATATGTATTTTATCTCATTAGAAAAACTTTATAGCCTGTTATAAAACTGATTGTCTTCTGCCCCTTAATGCTAAATTATCTAATTTTAAGTTATGCGTCAGCTAACTGTTCAATGTTTCAATCTTCCTAATTTACTGAATGTGTTCTCTGTATTTTTTTCCAGAGTTTTGTCCATCTAACATCCTGTGTTGGATAGCTAGTCACAGCCGCGTGCCATGAGACGAGCTCAGACGGATGGATTTCATCACTAATCCGTTTGATGTAAGTGAATTTAGGTTCTAATTCATGGGCTTGTGCTCTGTATAACAAGCCAGAATCAGCAACACACGGTCCATAAATTGAGGAGGAGAGCGAGGGAGGGAGAGAGACAGAGAGGGAGACAGAGTGTGGGGATGAGAGAAGAATCTGGTGTTTAACTGGAAGGCAGTATGTTTTATCAGTCACTGGCACCATTTAGCTGACAAAAATGAGCAGGCCCAGCTCTGGGAATAGGGCCTAGGCACCGGGTGTTCACCAAATCCTCACAAGAAGAATATCAGCACTTCTCACATGCTGCTGCCTGATATCCACTGCTGTAGCTGAAAACTATCTCCATTGTCCAGTTTGATTGCCTGAATCAAACTGATTTACTGCAAATCCATCTGAGCTTTGATAAATCTATTACAGTTTCATTTCGCTGATTTCATTAACGTGAATAAAACCAGCCATGCTTTCTGCATAACTGCCTTTTAATGGCTTGGCCCTGTCACCTGCCTCAGTATTAATCCCTCTGACTTATTGCTCCGCAGAGGGAATGAGTAATGGGTATTTGAATGTGATCAGCACAGTACAATGCAATTAAGGAACCAGTACTGTTCTGTGCCTTTAATCCTGAACTAATTTGAATTGCAGTTTGATAGCACTGTGAATCCTGCATAATTATGTAGGGTGCATATTAAACTCTGTGACAAACCGAAGAGGCCTTTAACTAGCCCTGCCACGAGGAGAGCAGCCAGGAGAGCCACAGTGAGGTAGCCAGCCACAGCTCTCTGGAAGTCTCAATTACCACCGTCCTGGCTGACAGGTAGAAGCTCTGAGGGTGGGGGTAGTGTGTGTATGTGTGTGTGTGTGTGTGTGTGTGTGTGCGTGGAGGGCGGAGGTGCTTCATTTGAAAATGGTTGACACTGACGTCTCTCCTCTTTCTCATCCCCAACCTCAACAATTATGTACAAGTGTCATTTCACCGTCAGGGAACAGCTACATCAAGTGTGAATCAGAGGAGGTTTGGGTTCGGTCAGTGGGGACTTTTCTTCATCATGTCTCCACTGACCGAACCAGAGTTCATACAGTGGCTTGTTCTTGCAACATACTCACGGAGGTAAATACAGTTTGGTAGAAGCATCAGGGTGAATCAGGGATTTTTAAAGTGCCCTGGATGGTGAAATGTGTCAGTAACCTCTGCAGCAATTTGTTTAACAATCTGTAACTGATTTTCATGTTTCAAACACAGATTCAACATAACTTTCCACCTCATTTGCATAGCACGGACCAAAAGTCATAACTATCAGACATGTTGTGGTTTAGTGTGTCAAAGAAAAACTGTTGCAACTTTGAAAACTACACAGGAAGATAAGATCAATAAGTGAGGAAGACAATAAAAAGTGATGTCAAGAATAGAATGGTAAGAGTAAAACGGTCAGAAAGTGAATAAAATCATTATTAGAGTGGTTGTTTATCCTGCGTGTTATTTTGAAGGGGAAGAGCAGGCGGCTGGCAGCTTTTCCTTCATATAACTATGAACTGAAAATACAACTTCCAAAGTAAGTCTTCCAAAGCTCAAGGATAATTTTCCTTTTTTAAACTGGCCTCTAGAGTATTTACTGTAAATACAATTGTAGTGCAAAAGAAGCAAGAACTAGGGCTGCAGAGTTGCATGATTGTCATTTCTCAAAGAGAGTGAAACACACAAAAATAACTCTTTTTTTTTCATATAGAGGAGAAAAATACAGTTTAGGTCTGTAATAAAGGCTTCTACCAGGAGATTAATGATGCCATGTACCACAAGTGGTCTGACTTTGGCACATTTCACAGCACCTTAAAATTTTCCCAACAATGAGCTATCATGCTTGATAGAAGATTGAGTCACACAGCGAAGAAAAGAGGGGATGAAGTGAGAAAGAGACGCAGAGAGAGACAGAGGGGAGAAGAGGAAAGAAGACACAGAGGGGGCTGCTGGCTAAATTAAGCCATTGTGACTCAAAATCCTCCTTTAATAAGGTTCATGCTGTCTACAACTTCATCATTTTCTCCTGAATGATAATTACTTTATTCAATCATGTTCAAGGTTTTAGTGAAAGCTAGCATTGATTGATTAACTTCAATTACCATGCTTGCATTTGCATAGATAAAAACTGCTTTTCAATTTGTGAGTGGCACGCGGGTGGAAACCCTGCCTTGATATTTGCATTTCAATGTGAACAGTGAAGGATAAAGGTGGCGGCGGGGTCTGCTCACTGCTAAGCCCTTTCTGGTCGGCTGCGCCAGCATCTATTTTTCCATAAACACCCTTTGTTATGATGTTGGTTTGCTCGCTCCACGCAGAGAGAGCCAGCGGTGGGCTCTGTTTGCAGGCTGGCTTGATGGCTCTGTTGGGGGATTAGGCTGCGTTGCACTACAACTCAGTGGAGAGCTTAGGTGAGCTCGGGCTGAGGCGCTGCTCTCACATGTCGGCAGATTTCACACTCCAAGGAGTTGTATACGGCCGTATTATACCTATAGGCTGACTAAGCTAATGAAGATGAGTACAGAGCAAGAGGCAGTGGAGATGATTACAATTATAACGTGTCTATATTAATCATCATTAACCAGACTGAAAACATACACAGACCTGCTCCATTTATCTGCAGCTGGATTCCTTTGACTCTCCTCTCACACCTTTTACCCTTCTCCCCGCTCAGAAAGAAACTACAAGTTCAGTTTCAAAAACAAGTCTCCCTCTTTTGACAAGCCGATTCTTTTTTCTCCCATCCAACTTTCAGTGATAATGGAAAAACCTGCAGATATGTATAATTGCGTTATTGTAATTGGGAGGCATGAGCACCCGAGTGTGAAAAAAAATATTTTTGAGGTCCACTTGATCACTGTGAGCTAAAATAAAAAATAATGAGAGAAGGTGGCTTGGTAATGTATAGAATTTCCATTTTCTCTCTCTCTGTCTCTCTCCAGTCCACGCAGGTACTGTACAACTATACAGTGAGCGAAAAATCACAGCTGTGCCACTTATGCACGAGTATTGGGATTACTGTCACCTTTGTCTGCATATTTTTCTTTGATTAATGTCACCCAAATGCTGTGTCTTCCAAATGAGAACCCAGTTCATTTGCATGATTTTTTGTACATGGTGCAAATTTGGGGATAAATTAGTCAGTCTCCTATCTTTGTTGGCATGGCACTGAGTGATTTTTCCTGAAGGAGAGCAAGTCTCAGAGCAATACTCCCAGAGAATTACACCTGTGAGATATGCTAATCATTAACACTGCCATAATGACCTTATTTACCTTCTTATAAAATGCAGAAATTAGCATTAGGTGCACCAACTGAACAGGGAGTTAATAATCAAGGCACTCACTTTTACCCCCTATTTGTTAGCTGGAGAGGCTAAACAGCAGCTTGAATATGTTTAGTTGCAGGCAGCCATCAGTTGATGTCTTTAAAACATATTATGGCGCCATCTCCTATCACTGCCTGGAAGGGGAA